ACCCCCCCCTCCCACCTTCATGGTCCCTGCATCTCTCTGCACAGCCTGGCTCCGATACAGCTGTTAACTCTGAAACCTAATGATGGTCACGTAGCCAGAAGAGTATTGTTTCTGGCATAACCCACCCCCGCCACATGCACCCCCTCCCCGGGGGATGGGGGGCAGCAGCCTGACCTCCCCCCTCTGCCCTCCCCCCGTTGCAGGGGGTGTACTAGAGGCTGATGGGCGCCGCGTGCCGGACGGAGAGACCTGGACGGACGATGCCGACGCCTGCGTCACCTGCACCTGCAGTGTAAGGCGGGGGGCAGACCAGCCGGGGTCATCCCCCGGTTCCCACCCCCCCCAAAGCCATGCCCAGTCCCCCCAGCAGTGAAGGGGCCTCCATGGGGCTGGGGTCAGACAGCCCCCCTCCCAGGATGACCCCCCTCATCTGTGCCCACAGCTGGGCCACGTGCAGTGCCATGTGGAGGAGTGCACGGACCTCGCCTGCCCCGATGGCCTGGAGCGGGTGCAGGTGCCCGGCACCTGCTGCGGCCAGTGCCAAGGTAGGAGCCGACCTGGGAGCTGGAGGGGCAGGGAGGGCCCCCCTGGGCGCAAGGGGCTGTGCCCAGTGAGCTCAGCCTGCCAACCTGCGAGGGTCCCCATACCCGGCAGGGAAACTGAGGCACGGATGGGACCAGCACCCAGACATCCTAGCTCCCAGGGGCTGCTGTCTTGGGCGTGGGGGCGGGAGGCCATATTGGGTCCCCCCTGACCGCAGCTGTGTCACCAGTGCCAGGCAGCACCTGCTCCTACCAGGGCCGCCGGTTCGAGTCCCGTGAGCGCTGGCAGGTGGACGCGTGTACGGCCTGCTCCTGCGTGGCCGGGGAGGTGCACTGCCGCAGCCAGCGCTGCCCCCCGCCCGCCTGCGGCCCCGTGAGTCCAAGGAGCGCGGGGGGGTGCAGGTCCCTGTCCCCTGTTAGGGGTGGCGAGGGGTCTGTCATGGGTGGGGGAGCATTTTGGGGGTACAGACACCCCTTGGCAGCACCTGAGGCTGCATGCCATGGACTAGTGGGGGTCAGGGTACCCCTCCCCATGACAGCCCATGGCCCCCCAGGACGAGGCGCCGGCGCTGACGCCGGGACGGTGCTGCCCCCACTGCCACCCACGCCCGGCCACGTGCCAGGCCTTCGGGGACCCGCACTACCGCACCTTCGACGGGCGCCTGCTGCACTTCCAGGGCGCCTGCACCTACGTGCTGGCCCGCGACTGCCATGCCGAGGACTTCAGGTCAGGTCGGACCCCCTCGGTGCCACCGCTGCCCGGACACCTGGGATGCATCTTCCACTCTTGTGGGCAAGGGGGCCTGGGGGAACCAGGACTCCTGGGTCCCACCGTGGCCCCCCACCCCTTGTGTCCGCAGCGTCCACGTGAGCAACGATGCCCGGGGCCACACGGGCGTATCGTGGACCCAGGAGGTGGTGGTGCAAGTCGGGGGCACCTGGGTGCAGCTGCTGCAGGGCGGGGAGGTCATGGTGAGACCCCCGCACCCCCGCCCAGCTGTGCCCATTGCTGGGGGGCTCAGGTGTGGCCCCCCAGAAGGGGTCGTGGTGCCCTGAGCCCTGCCCTGCCCATGCCAGGTGGACGGCGAGGCGGTGACGCTGCCCTTCCTGAAGGAGCCGGCGGTGTACGTGGAGCGCCGGAGCGGCACCGTCCTACTCAACACGCACGTCGGCCTCCAGGTGTGTGGGGGGCACCCCTTGCAGCCCCCCAACACCACGGGGGTGGGCATTCATGGGGGACCAGAGATACTGATACCCTTCCCCCCGGTAACAATGGCAATGGGGGTCAGCGACCGGGTGCCCGCTGACCCCCGTGCCCCCCAGGTGCAGTGGGACGGGCGCTCGCACGTGGAGCTGAGCGTGCCGGGCACCTACCGCGGCCGGACCTGCGGCTTGTGCGGCAACTTCAACAGCTTCGCCCAGGACGACCTGCGCGGCCCCGGCGGTGACCTGCTGCCCTCCCACGCCGCCTTGGGCAACAGCTGGCAGGTGGGGGGGGGTCTACCCCATAGTGGGGGTCGCCCACAGGGGCTGCACTTGGGGTACTGGGGCCGTGAGGGTCCCCCTGCCCCAGCCCAGTGTGCCGTGCTGCCCGCAGGTAGCGGCGCCGGGGCAGGACGGGGGCTGCGGGCCGGCCCGCGACGTGGAGCCGTGCCAGGAGGCCGGGTACCGGGCGCGGCGGGAGGCGAACACGCGGTGCGGGGCGCTGAAGGCACCACCCTTCACACGCTGCCACGGGCTGGTGCCGCCCGAGGGGTTCTTCGCTGCCTGCGTGTACGATGCCTGCGCCTGCCGCGCCGACGCCGGTGCCTGCCTCTGCGATGCCCTCGAAGCCTACGCCGCCGCGTGCCGCCGCGCCGGACTGGTGCTACACTGGCGCTCGCCCACCCTCTGCGGTCAGCTGGGCACGGGCCGGGGGGTCTTGGGGGTGTCTGCGCCGGGGTGGAGGAGACTTGGGGGGCAGAGAGGGGCTGGGGGTGTCCAGGCAAGTGGGGTTGGAGCCAGACCCTGCAGTGCCACACTGACCCCCCTATCTCCCGCAGCCGTGGGGTGCCCCCGGGACCGGGGCTACGTGTTCACCGAGTGCGGCCCCCCCGGCCCC